TGTCTACAAAATATTTCTCTACTTCGTGTTGTAAAGTAGTGTAGTTATGTTTAATAATTATGTTGGTGTTTGGAATTGGTATTTGACATTTAGTTTGTTCCTCTTTGTGTCCACAGGTTTTGCAAGTCAAAAGTTCTCTAATGGAGGGGTAATTTCTCATCAATTTACAGAATAAATTTCCAATATTGTCTTGGCAATCAATTACGAAACTATCAAGACTTCTGTTTAATGAATGAAGTATGTATGCTCTATTGGTATAAAATGTATTACTTAATGATGATGTAGCATAATTTATGACAGTACTTGCATAACATAAGTATTGCAATTCTAGTGTTTTATTCATATTATTTTCCAAATACTCCTCAAAACGTTTTAATTCAAAACAAGAGTGAGCAAGTAATTCAGTAATAGTATCAAATGCACAGGTATTTTCCAATCTAAATTTTATTCCATGAATAGGTTTTTCAAGGAGTTTGCCACCATTTTGAATAACTTTCCTGCTCATAATTTTCTTATTTCTTTTTTGTAGAAGAAGATTCAATCCAGGCTCAGCAGACACGTACTTACCACGTTTCTTTAAATTTTGGTTTACATTTACTGAGCTACTTACAGATAAAGTTATTTTTTCTTGACTAGAACTATTTTCCAAATCTAAAAATACTTCTTTAGTATATTCATCATCTATCTCACCTTTGAATAATTCATCTTTGGTAGAATGACAAATATTTTCAGGCAATTCTCTACCTAAGTCTAATTTGTAATAGCTATGGTCGATATTGAAATTGAGATCTAATGTATTATTAGTCTTTTCAGGTGAATGGCTGCTGATGGATGATTTTGGTGCATTAGCCGTGGAAGTCATCGCTCCTACAATATTCTCTGAAAATGCTAAAAATTCATCGTCAAGGTTTGATTCATTCATCTTCAGTGATTCGTGAATTTCTTTTTTCTTATCAAAGTTATTTTTATCGCATGAAAGTAAATCATTACTGCCATTAATCGTATCTATAATACTTTTTTCAGCACTCTGAATAGACGCTGAAAGGAACTCTGAAAATTTTTCAATTTCGAGTCTGCTATTTTTGTTTTTCCACGTTTCTGTTGCAAGCAAGAATTCATTACTATTTTCAATATATTTTTTCTTTGATACTATTTCACTAGGTTGTAGATTGTTCAATGCAGCACGTGCTAATATTATATCGCTTTCTATCTGTCGAGAATGGTTAACAAATACTATATCTACTCTTGTGCAAGTAGGGTTTATAGATTTATAATGACTAAAAAGTGCCTCTGATCTTGCGGAAGTAGCCACGTCTACCGAGTTGTTAAAGTGTTTATTCATTACTTTCGTCCAACATGGAAATTCAGCACATAAAGTAGACAATCTTTGAACAAAGTCAAGTGAATAGTAATCATTATTTTGAATGTAAAAATCAGAGGAGTTATTACTGTCATATATATTCTCTATAGCTTTCGTTCTTAATTTATCGATATACAAACTTGTTAGTCTTTTGGTACTGTTTTCATCATCAGCAAAATCCATATCCACAAAATTATCTGAAACTTTTTTATCTGAATTTAATTTTTCTTCTATGACACTAGCATCAAATTTGTAAGTTTGAATTATTTTAATGAGATATGACTTTTGACAGTAATAATTATTTAGTTTGCTACCAGCAACTACAAATAGAGTCACTAAAAACTCTGCAAAGTTTTTCAAATTATCTATAGTTGTCATGAAACCCACACATCTTACAAATAGTTCTTTCATTTTAGGCCGATCGTTGCTATAACAAGGCCATTTTGCTACAGCACGGATTAAGTGTGCCACATCAGTGAGCAACTGAGTATTTAATTCAACCTTATATTCTTGTTTCAACAATAGTGTAAGGCATTCATCATTATACTTTGAAAATTTCATATTATTGAACCCTAAACTAACACTGTTTTGCATGGCTTTTCCCATGTCTGTTACAATACCACCAACTGGAATTGTAGCACCACTTTTTCTCCATTCCAAAAGCCAGTATGTCAAGAAATTTGTATCATTGACTTCTGACAGTACTTGTGCTACTGGTACAATAATATTGTTTATGTGTGTCGATAAAACACTCAAAAAAATGTGACTGCTATCTGCATTTGGTCTTCTTATTTTTAAGGCTACTGAACCTGTAGCATCCAGCGACATAGGATTTTCTAATTTTTTTTGTATGTCATTGTGGACACTTATTTGCTCAGGAGACCAATACATAAGGAAAAATTTGTCAAAACCAATCCCTCTAATGTATTTATTGAATTCACAAGTATCTTTTAATCTTTGAAGTGATTCAAATAAGCTTTCCCCTGGTTTTAACCCTAACTTTTCATATTTTGCCTCATGCCTAGATTTTTGTATCACTTGTTGGCTATAAAGAAATGGTGGCTCAGGATCTCCATATTCCATTTCTCTATTGATTTCTTCTCGTTTCCATTGTCTTGGTTTTTTAAATTGTAAGTGTTCTTTTATTTTTTCCCTCTCTGGACCAGCCAAACGTCTCTTTTTTGCATGGGGTATCCCATGAGAATTCAATGTTTCCACACTGAAACTAACAGCTTTTCCATCGACAGGTTCATTATAGCAGTAAATAATCAGATCAGCATTACAAATTTGGCAGTACCCTATTATTTCTAAAAATGCATTGACGCAATTTACATTATGACGTTTAAAATTAAAGGCACAAGGCAATTTTTCTGCGTGCCACATTTCCTTCACTAAAATATCTGCCCATCCAGCTTGCAAAGATTTACCGACCCTCCCACTTTTATACTTTTTTTCAACTGGTTTTATTTTATACCACTTTTCTGCAGATAAAGTGAAATTAAATTTTAATGTTTTACCTTTCTCCTTTTTTTCGTTCTCCTGGTACTCAGGTGCATCACTTTGTAAAATTTCACTTTTGTTATAAACTTTATAGTCAACTGATATAGGTAGCAATATATTTTTTTCTTCACAATAAGAAGTCAAAATTTGTTTCCTATTTTGGTACACTTTTATATATAAATTTGTTGAATTAATTTTGTTATTCAACGCCGTACATATTTGTTTCCACACTGGATCGTTTTTGCTTTTTAGTTTAGTTGTTGAATCATTAAAGATATTATGCTTGATGATTTCTGTTATAATATCTTCAGCTGTTACTGATGGCTTAGGCCCAACCATTTTTTACAAAATTTTCAAAAACTTTTTAATACTAACGGGAAATAACGGGATTATAACGAAATAATAACGGGAACTGTGCTTTCGTTGTTATCGTGTATATCGGATTCTAAATTTAACGAGATTTATCAGTCTTTTGTTTTTGAGTATAATTTGTTTCACAGATAAAAGGTAGCGCTACTCTTATTGGATACGATTTCAGAATTCTTTTCGGCGCGCATATTCAATTTTTTTCGAAATCGATAGCTACAAAAAACATTTTTATGAAATACTGTACTAGGCGGCAAAATTTTCATGTAATATATTTGTTGTTTTCATGTAATATATTTGTTGACTTTTTGTCAAATATTTTCAGACAATTCTCTACCTAAGTCTAATTTGTAATAGCTATGGTCGATATTGAAATTGAGATCTAATGTATTATTAGTCTTTTCAGGTGAATGGCTGCTGATGGATGATTTTGGTGCATTAGCCGTGGAAGTCATCGCTCCTACAATATTCTCTGAAAATGCTAAAAATTCATCGTCAAGATTTGATTCATTCATCTTCAGTGATTCGTGAATTTCTTTTTTCTTATCAAAGTTATTTTTATCGCATGAAAGTAAATCATTACTGCCATTAATCGTATCTATAATACTTTTTTCAGCACTCTGAATAGACGCTGAAAGGAACTCTGAAAATTTTTCAATTTCGAGTCTGCTATTTTTGTTTTTCCACGTTTCTGTCGCAAGCAAAAATTCATTGCTATTTTCAATATATTTTTTCTTTGATACTATTTCACTAGATTGTAGATTGTTCAATGAAGCACGTGCTAATATTATATCGCTTTCTATCTGTCGAGAATGGTTAACAAATACTATATCTACTCTTGTGCAAGTAGGGTTTATAGATTTATAATGACTAAAAAGTGCCTCTGATCTTGCGGAAGTAGCCATGTCTACCGAGTTGTTAAAGTGTTTATTCATTACTTTCGTCCAACATGGAAATTCAGCACATAAAGTAGACAATCTTTGAACAAAGTCAAGTGAATAGTAATCATTATTTTGAATGTAAAAATCAGAGGAGTTATTACTGTCATATATGTTCTCAATAGCTTTCACTCAATAGCTTTGGATACGATTTCAAAATTCCTTTTGGCGCACATATTAGCGTACATAAAATCAAAATATTTTTATAAACTAATCAAAGCTTAACATGTTAAACAATATTTCTTTTTTTTCTGATTCTTCAAGAAATCAATTCTTAATTACCTATTTCAAAAATATGAAGTTGTGGGGACTCAGGTGTCTCGCTTTAGACGCTTTAGAACACCAGCTTCCTCAGGGGCAAGTAAACATTTTTATGAAATACTGTACAAGGCGGCAAAATTTTGTAATCGCTCTTTCATGTAATATATTTGTTTAACTTTTTCTCATTGAAATAAAAACATGATTTGATAAATAAAAACTAATTGTTGTTATTAAAAGAAAAACAATGTAATCTGAAGAAAGTTAAAAATTAAGTAAATTAATGCATTAGGAAATAAAAAGGATAAAGGGTGCAAGTAGAAAAGAAGAGCCATTGAATGCTTCCTTCCTAGTTTATATCTATGAGAAAAGAGTGAATGACAAAAAAATCATTCTAGGTATTAGATATAAAGATTGAGTGGATTGAATATTCATCTAAGTCAAAACAAAATATATGAAATGATAATTTATACGATTTTACAGCATCTTTGTGGTATTATATTAATTTGGGTTATTTATTTGATGAGGTAAAAAGTTGTGAGGTGTACAAAATAACCAACATTTTTTGAGTGAAAAAAAACATTTTTTTATTGTACAAGATTACATCAAAGTTATACAATAGTCTATGAACGTTTTAACCTTCTGAAGCTTGATTTGGAGTTATTACGATTAATAAATCTTTTGCGTACGTAAATAAGTGCACTGGAATTAATAAAGTAATATTTTTTATTATGCATAGAAAAATGCTGTTGACCCTTAAAACGGCTTCCTAATTCATTATTCTATAATAATATTTTTTACCGACAGCACTTTTCACTGAAGTTCAAAATGTTAATGCGAATTTAATCGCAATTTTTCATAATCTTCATTCAGTCCAGCTCAAAAAAATTATCTTTAAGCTTAAAAAACAATAAATATACTAAATGAAATTAATTTACCTATACAAATAAAACGCGTTTTTATACCATTCTATCCTTAATCTGTAGACTGATAAAAAGAGATTATATACTCCCTCTAAAACTGGAAAGTATTGTGAAAAAGTCAGTAGAACCAATTTGAGGAACTTAAAATAAATTTACAAAAGTTTCGACGACGTTAATTAAAATGTAATTATTGTATTATTAGATAAAAATGATCATCTTGCTTTAAAGATTTTCAACGTCTAATTACTTGGCGAATACGAATGAATAATGAAATAACTGTTAGTTACGAAAACTTGAAATGTAATCCTAGCAGCAATAAACAATCGTCTAATCAAACAATCCAAGGCAGCCAAGTACGCTGAACTGATTGCTCTGATAGCTTACCTAAACTACACAAACTAATTAGCAAAATACTTCCATCCAGTTGGTACCTGAAAACCTTCAATATTGGTTTTTTTAGCTACCCTATCAATAGCAGCATAAGTAGACATGGATCTTGCACATCCTTTAATTCTAGTCTTGATAAAATATGGAATAACTTTCAAGTTGGTTGTTAGAACTGCTAATGAATTTGATGGATGATCAAAAAATGCTTTTTTCCCAATAATCTAAAATAATACAAAATTATTAATGTAAAACAAATGTATAAAATTGATTAATTTTGTAATTACCATATTTCTATCTCGATCACCATCAAATGCAGCTTCAAAAGCATAAGGTCCATTTTTAACAGCATTTATCAAATCAGCTGCATAAATCAAATTTGGATCTGGATGTAAACCTCCAAAATCATCTTTGGGTACACAATTGACTGTCCTGGAATCGCTTACTCCTAACTATGACAAATATTTGTTTTACATAAGGTCCAGTAACTAAAACAAAATTGAGAATATTCTAAATTCAAATAAAATTTAATACTTGTATTTTCAACAACTTACCTTCATTCATTGCATTAGTAAAAACTCGAAAAGCAGGATGCTCTGCACTTCTCTGAAGTAATTTTTTTATGGATGCGAAATCAAATATTTCTTTCATTAGACTGGCATAATCAGCTACAGAATCAATAATATCTACAGTGAGTGATTTTTTATCTACTTGTACACTAGTAGATTGAATTTTATCAATATCAATATTCAATTATTGTAGATACTGATGGTGTAGAAAGAATCCCATTTTGTCTTACTATCAATTTTGCAACCTAAATAACACATATCAAAATTACAAATTAAAAGTTAAAGAAATTAACCAAATAAGGTTATAACAATTGTTTGGCTTTGTTAAAGCCATATTATTTTGCAATAATATTTTTTCTGGATACTTTTACTTACTCTTTCCTCCCTTGGTACACACTGAAGCAGTAATCAGCACCTGTTAAAACAAAGTTATGATAAAATCGGTAAATTATGAAAGCAGAAAATATGATTTTGAAGCGTAAAATGTAATAACTAAAAGCACCATTTTGGAGTATTGTTATAAAAATCTTGGTCGACAAAAATTCTTTATATCATTAAAATCGTTATTTCTGCGATGTTTTATTCTACATTCCGAGAATAGTGATGCAAATATTCAGTTTATCTAAACTAATTACAGTGGCATTATTTTATATGCACTCCTACTTGGCCAATCTTGGCAAGCAGCTAATCCTACGCCGTCAGCAACGGCTTCTCTCGTTCTTCATCCTCTCGCAGCTTCCGAATCAACACTTTGCTGGCTAAAGTTCACATGTAAACAACATCGGTCCGATCAGGTGTTCCCCAGTCTGGAACACTAGATGCAATTTCGAATTAATTCTTTTATCTTTGGACTTTACTAGATGACGAGATGGCATCCGTGCATGCTCATTGAGCAGCCTGTGCACACTTCAAATGGGGAAGCTGTTTTTTTACCAATTTTTTAACTAATCGTGATAATTTCGACAAATTAAGTAGGGTGCAATTAGAATCGGTCCGGGTGCAGTTTTTTTATAAAATTTTTATTCAGAAATATTGAGTATTTTTGGAGTTATCGCTGTTTGAAAATATGAAAATATCAGCATTGGTTTTTAATTTTTATTAATGAATGTAGAAGGGTGCAGTTTGATGTTTTAGCGTATTTGGAGGGTGCAGTTACATACCTTCCCATTGGTATTTTTTTTTTGCTATAAGTTAAATTTGCAGGCTGGGGTAAGGGGGGTACCATCGATGCCCAGCACTGGATGTTAGGTATTAGCCGGTAGAGTCGAGGTATCAGATGTTAGTACTCATAAATAAAAAATTTGAGAAAATTACTAAAAAAGTTTACGGCAAATTATTGTTCCTACATTGCTTTGCTAAATTAGGTGGACAATCTTTATTGTTCATCTCTATATTGGTAAGCTATATGTGATTTACAAAAAATTGTTGCATACTTACTACTCCCTTGACGGTGACTGACGAATTTTACCGTCAATTTATCGGTCATTGTACTTACAGCTCATGCTTTTGACATTTATAGTTTTTTCATACTAATTCAAAATAATCAAGGCATTCAAAATCCATTGTTCTTCAAAATTTGTCAAGTAGATTTGTAAAACTGCAGTGATGGCAAACAAATTTCAAGAGGATTATTACGCAAAAATAAAATATCATGAAGATACTGTGCGGAGCACGGTTTTAGTTTCAGATATTTTAGAATTTAAAGATAATCCGAAGGAAGCAATACAAAATTTTAATAAATTAGCAGTTTACTCCATCTTATGGAGAGATAGAAATGATAAACCTGTCAAACTGGCAATACAAGTTTCGGCAATTAAAAGTAAGTTCCATTATTGTATGGTATAGTATAATATTATAATTATATTATATACGTTTATATAACATTCATTATATATTAACATAATTAATTAGTATTAATTCAAAAAGTTTGATTATAACATACAGTCACAATTATAATATACAAGTAAAATATATAATTTTTTTTTAACGTACAATAAAGGATCATCCTTTCCATTTTCATACCCATAATATAAAAATAAAATACATAATTCAAAAAGTTTGAAGCGAACAAAATTATCTAAAATATTAAGTGATGGTTTGTCATGTTATCAAAATAGAAATATAATTATGGAACATATAAAAAGCTGATTTTCACGATTTTGATAATGAACAGTAAAAAAATTATCCTTTAAGCAGCCGCTTGTTCTCATCTTAACATTTTAAAAGTTGTAAGAATCAAAGATTATGAACCATGGACCACATAATTAAACACAAGTAAAATAAATAAGTTATTTATAATATACAATAAAGGATCCTTTCCATTTTCATATACATAATATACATATGAACCATCATTTTATATTTTTGATAATTTTGTTTGCTTCAAACTTTTTGAATTATAATAATGTGATGTTTTATTTGTATATTGTGTATATGAAAATGGAAAGGATCCTTTATTGTACGAATCACTTACACCTAAGCAGTCAAATATCAAATATCAGCTTTAAAACCAAGTTGTTATATAAAAAGTTATTTACTTTTAAATATATTAAACAAATAATTTATTATTAATTCAAAATAATTTTTATAGAATGAACAATTTATTCTAACTACTTAAAAGTATAATAAAGCATTTGAATAAATTTACAGTAAAGTATTAATTAAATTGCTTTCAATTAAATCAAAATTGTGTATTGTTATCCCTATTGAAAAAATCCAGCTGGAAATCCAGGCTGGATTTCCACATGGATATCCAGGTAGATTTCCAGGTGGATTCATATGGATTCCATATGGATTTCATATGGATTTCCAGGCTGGATTTCCATATGGATTCCAGATGGATTTTTTTGAAAATCCAGGTGGATTTATCAATCTGGATTTGACGTGAAGTAAAATTTCAAATAATAAATAAATAACGTATTGGTTATCAGTATATAAAATTTTACTAATAGGTTCTATGGAGGATGAATTATAAAAAAAAAAAAAAAAAGTGTCTTGACCAAGGCTTGAACCCGGGATCTTTATATTATCAGACTTGTCCTTTACCACTTTGCTATCGATGACTGTTGGGATGCATTCGTTTTCTTTCCTATATCACGTGCAACTTGAAAGTTGCGAATAAGCCATATTTCTACTTATTGTATTGTTCATCTCTGATTAAATGCATGAGTTTCAAATTAAGGACGTCGTCTGGTCCATTTCAAATAATGACAGAATTTACTGAAACTCAAACTGATCATCGTTTGAAGTCTTCTGTACTCACACCAGTTTTTTTGGGACATATAGTATAGTACTAAATAAAGAGAAATATGATGTTTAACATGTGCTCTTATGAGACGGCATCGAAATTATGCGTAAAAAAATAAGTGCACTTATGGGGCAGTGTCAAAACTATAAGAAAAAAATGTAAGCTGCTAACGCCGAGACTGCGATGATGACTTAAGAGAGCCTTCTTATAATAAGGAAAAAAAAGTAAAAATAATGAGCGTTAGACTCGCAGGGTACTTCGGTTGTGGCTCTCGTGGTTTACCTGTCTGAGTTGTAGCGCTGTTACAGATTACGGTTTTCTTTCTAAAGGAAAAAAAATTAAAATAATAAGCCTAAAACTCGCAGGGTATAGGGTTAGAAAAGAAAAGCACTAATCTGAAACAACGCTACAACTAAGAGAGGTCAAACTCGAGAGCCAAAATCCAAGTACCCTGAACCCTGCAAGTTTTACGCTACATATTTTTTCTCACGCTCCCGGTGAAATATAAAATTTTACGCTCGATATTCTTACACGCATTTTCCATTAAGAAAAAAAAAATAGAGCCAACGCTACACCTACGCCGGCTATTTCCGGGAGCCGATACCAAACTACCCTGGACCCGCCGAGTTTTACGCTCATAATTTTCTATTTTTTCCTGTAGAAAAAAAAACACTAATTTGAAACAACGCAACGACTCAGAGAGGTAAACCACGACAGTCATAACCCAAAAATCTTGTACCCTGCGAGTTTTACGCTCATGATTTTTACTTTTTTCTTAAAAAAAAACACTAATCTAAAACACCGCTGTAATTTAGACATGCAAACCACGAGAGCCAAAATCCAAGAACCCTGTACCCTGCGAGTTTGGTGCTCATATTTTTTTTTATATTATACCTAATATTTCGTAAGTATATGTTATATTTTCTGTAGGTATTTCTATGAAAGCAAATAATTTTTGAATAAATAGAGCTAAATTTCTTAAAATTTTGTTGTTGATCTTGATCAACAATTAAAAGCCGAGGTCAAATTCTTCAGAGTGAACAAAATTTGTTCAAGAAGAAAGAAAAACTCGTGTAAAAGTCTGGAGCATAAAACTCGGCGGGTACAGGGTGGTTTGGTTTCGGCTCCCGGAAATAGCCGGCGTAGGTGTAGCGTCGGCTCTATTTTTTTTTTCTTAATGGAAAATGCGTGTAAGAATATCGAGCGTAAAATTTTATTTTTCACCGGGAGCGTGAGAAAAAATATGTAGCGTAAAACTTGCAGGGTTCAGGGTACTTGGATTTTGGCTCTTGAGTTTGACCTCTCTCTGTTGTAGCGTTATTTCGGATTAGTGTTTTTCTTTTCTAACCCTATACACTGCGAGTTTTAGGCTCATTATTTTAATTTTTTTCCTTTGGAAAGAAAACCGTAATCTGTAACAGCTCTACAACTCTGACAGGTAAACCACGAGAGCCTGCGAGAACCGAAGTACCCTGCGAGTCTAACGCTCATTATTTTTACTTTTTTTTCCTTATTTTAAGAAGGCTCTCTTAAGTCATCATCGCAGTCTCGGCGTTAGCAGCTTACCTTTTTTTCTTATAGTTTTGACGCTGCCCCATAAGTGCACTTATTTTTTTACGCATAATTTCGATGCCGTCTCATAAGAGCATATGTTAAACATCATATTTCTCTTTATGTAGTACTATACTATATGTCCCAAAAAACTGGTGTGAGTACAGAAGACTTCAAACTATGATCATTTTGAGTTTCAGTAAATTCTGTCATTATATGAAATGGACCATACGACATCCTTAATTTGAAACTCATGCAAATAATCAGAGATGAACAATACAATGAGTAGAAATATGGCTTATTCGCAACTTTCAAGTTGCACGTGATATAGGAAAGAAAGAGAATCTATCCCTACAGTCATCGATAGCAAAGTGGTAAAGGACAAGTCTGATAATATAAAGATCCCAGGTTCGAGCCTTGGTCAAGACACTTTTTTTTGTTGTTTTTTTTATAATTCATCCTCCATAGAATCTATTAGTAGAATTTTATACACTGATAACCAATACGTTATTTATTCATTTTTTGAGATTGTACTTCACGTCAAATCCACATTGATAAATCCACTTGGATTTCCAAAAAAATCCATCTGGAATCCATATGGAAATCTAGCCTGGAAATCCATATGAAATCCATATGGAATCCATATGAATGCACCTGGAAATCCACCTGGATATCCATATGGAAATCCAGCCTGGATTTCCAGCTGGATTTTTTCAATAGGGATTGTTATTAAATGGTTACTTCAAGGACTAAGTTCAGTTTTGAACTCTGCAGAGTTACACAAGGTACCTGTACGCATATAGCCTTGGTTTCCTATAGTTATGAGAGGTATGCATATATATATATATATATATATATATGCATACCTTTCATAACTATATGTGTGGTAATTATAATAATATTATCTTCATTATGTATTATAACTATATATTTTCCACGTGTGAATAGCATAGTTGAGCACCAGCCCTCGTGGATTATCGCACATAACTTTTGACCT